GACTAACCATGTTGATCGCCTCGACCCGGCTGTCATTCGACCAGGACGTGTTGACAAGATGGTTGAGTTCGGGTTAGCAAGTCGAGAGATGCTGCTGGGGCTGTTCCGATACGTCTATCTGCCCTCGTCTAGCAAGACCGAGAGAGTAGTAGACAAGAACGAAGGAGTCGTCAACAACCAAGACGCTCAGGAAACCCAGAAGCATATTCAGGAGCTGGCAGCGATGTTCGCTGATCGTGTGCCTGCGATGAAATTTAGCCCGGCTCAGATCTTGTCATTTCTGATTGCGCACAGGCATTCGCCTCGAGACGCAGTGGAGAATGTCATCTCCTGGGTTGAAAAGGGGGGGGAAGGTTTCATTCCTCTGAGGCGCCACACTTCTACGATGAACACGAAGAGTGAGGAGGCAGTAGACGTGTTCGTGAGCATGGATGATATGCAGTTGTGGTCAACAGTGTGTTAGTTTGCAAACTGCCAGCTGCCGGTCCTTATCCATTTTGTTATTAGTCCGTATACAGTATCTATCGAGCGACAAATATATCAAATTTCTTGAAGGCGGTTGCACAAAATACGAGTGGACGGTTTCTTATACCACGCGCTGAGTTTAGCGCAGTCGGTTCTGCGCAGCATCTCGTTCTACCCGATCATGGGACTTTGGATTGCGGCCCGCATTATGCATTACTTCGCCCCTATAAACCACCTTGCCAAACGGTCCCAACGCCCAAGCCCGCATAGGGACACACTGTTCGGAGCACACACCTTTCTGCTAACGCCCATAAGCCCGCTGTAGCTCTCTTCACCAGAGACGAACCGGCCCCGCTCACCCCAGCAAGGCAGCTCTCTTGCGCGGACGGGAAAATACCAACGAGAATAGAGCTACAACAGCTATGCCTTCTAAAAAAATGGATGGAGTAACGCAAGAGAGCAGACTCCTTCGGCTCTCGAGCCGCTATCGCGCCGTTCAACAGCTTAATCATAGCCGGTTGGTTCTCCAATCCATCGAGTCCACGCCGCACGCGGTCATCTCCGCCTTTGGCCAAGTCAACAGGGCTAAAGCCACGATCATCTTTCATCGTTGGGTCAGCCCCTGCGGCCAGCAATCGTCGCACAACCTCTACCTTCCACATCTGCGCCGCCAACGACAGCGGTGTCTTCCATTCGCTATTTGTCGAGTTCCGGTCTACCCTTGCGTGCGCTAGTAGTAGCTCAACCACGTCAACATGGCCGTTCTTCGCTGCTGACGCCAACGGTGTATCCCCATTCCAATCCCTGTGATCAGCATCGACACCCTCGTGCGATAGCAGCGCTTGTACAGCCGCCACATGCCCTCGCGTCGATGCCCATGTCAACGGCGTCCGACTGAGGCCATCTTGATGGTTGGGATTGACATCGGGATCTGCAAGCAACAGCCTCACCACCGATTCGTGCCCGTTACGCGATGCTGCTGACAACGCTGTCAGACCACCTAGGCGCGTTGCCTGCCGATCGAATTTCTTCAACGTGCTCAATCTGGAGGCCAGATCATCCGCAGGTTCGGCATTTCGTACGCCGACCGTGAGCAACAGTTGGACAACGACATGGCGTCCTGCTCCAGCCGCGCATAGCAGTGCCGTATTGTCAGAAAAGTCCTTGTGGCCTGTATCGATGCCCGCTAGAAGCAAGTCTATAACCGACTTCACATGTCCCAGAGCGGCCGCCGTGATCAGAAGCGTCCGACCATGCTTATCGTATCGGTAGTAGTCGTAGATCAAGAGAGTAAGGAAACGACGGCATACTCGCAAGAAGTGGCTGCGATCTTTGTTATTCAAGCAGTCTACTATCTGCAGGAGAATTTCATCCGGAAATTCGGTGAGGCACCGCCGTTCAGATGCATGGGCTGTGGACATTTCCGCGCAGCTGGGAGAATGGTGCTGGTGCGGGGTTCACGAGGCTAGACGTCAAGGAAAAGGAAAAGGCTGCTTTGGTTGGTGGCGTTCAGCAACCTAACTGGTTAGGTGTAGTGTACCTTACCTCGTCAGCTGGCGCAGTCAAAAGCATGCAAGCATTGTGCCTATGTTAAATAGGATAGAAGGACAGGTATTTTACAGGCCAGTCGCCTCCGCCGTGGTTTCGTCATCTACTAAGCTTCGGGCTCCTCCTAAGATCGGGCCGCCGGGTCAGCTGCCTGGCGTATTGTAAGGATAGGACATGGGGGGCAGGAGTGAGCAATTGCATTTATTTGGATGGATGCTTGGATGGATGCTTGGATTAAGCGATTTTTTCTGGAGACTGTCTACGGCTGCATTCTTCAAACGCAACGGCTGCAGATAACGGAAGCTTCGAAGCAAAACTGAGCTCTCAACGTCTAGGCAGCTGTTTCGTATTAATATTCAGAAATGCTGGCTGTTCGACCGTGTTTTTACGCGCCGTACTAACAATTTGCGAGAAACATCTTCCGTGTCCTGCTTGTCATTCGCTGTTGCTCTTGCTAGTATTCCACGAGCTCCCATAGCCCTTGCGTCCGCCGCAGGAGGGCTGTATAGATACAGCCAGTCAACAATCACGGCTGCCGTCCTCGCTAGATGTTCGCACGTGCCCCTGACAGGTTCGCGCATTATGACCAGGCTGGCTGCACACACCACATCGTCGACCTTTCGTCTCATCCCTTGATTTTCGACCTCTGGCCTTGCTCTTGACCAGCTTGTGCGGTCGCCGCTGTCGCCGGCTGCTGCAAGAACGCGCTTGCACTCGTTGGAACTGCAATTGAAACGTACTGATTCCGTCGATCGTCACGCATTTTAATGCAGCGTTTTGCAACTGCCATTCGCCGAAGGATTCTAGCGACGCCTTTCTGCAATCTGAGCCATTCTCGGTCTCAGATTCGGACAGGCTGTGAGAGGCTGATGGGCTAAGCGCTCTACTTTTATTCTAGCATGTAAAAGATCTAGCACGCAACGGCTCCTAGCATCCAGTGGTCATTGTGTACGCGGGGCTGGCATATGCTTGTCAATGAGTTCGGTTGCGTTTTCGCGGTCGCCATGCCGCTTCTCTCTGTTCAATAGCACTCCACTCCGGTAGTAGATAGATAGTCCGTGTTCCGTCGCCTGTTACTCGCCCAAAGCAGTTCTGCGGACGAAGCATTTGATTCTCGCTATCAAAAATACCCATCCCATTCCGCATATACTTGGCTGCCTGCCGTTGCACCGCTGACGGCTCAGCGGGATCTACCACTACGCTCGTCTGGGTCTTCCACTCTCCATCTATTAAAAGCTTGAACTCTATACACACTTTTTCTGCTCCCTGAGAGGAAATCTGTAACGTTTAGACTGTGCGCCATTCAAGATTGTGTGATGATGATGAACGTACCTGAGAGCTGTATTCCATCGCCTCGTGCATTTCTACCACGGGATAAAGATCATCGTGTGGAGCTGACAGGTAGGACGCATTCTGCCCTAGTTGGGTACTTGCGGAATCGGAAATCTCATCATGGGTATACAAACCTTCTCTCACCACGTGTTCCAAATCGACACCTTTCATTTGCCGCCCAGCTGTGCCTCCATGTACTTCTGTTGTCACCAAACCTTCGTTGGTAGCAGTCCCGGGTAGGTAGTAACCCAACGCTGCTGGTGGGGAAGGTGGCCCTCCTTTCCACTGATGCACCCCGCTTTTCCTCCAACTCCGTCGTCCGTCCTGCGCTTTCACCGAGTCTGGCTTCAAGTCGCGCTAAGTATGTCTTCAGCTGGTCGATCTGGTTTCGTAACGCCACCTCTTCGGCAACGAGTTGATTGATCGCGGACCTGTGATTCTCTTCCACTGCTGCCATGGATGCCACTTTGCTCGCCTTCTCCTCGTCGAGATGGGCCATTTGCAGGGTCAGCTGCTTCACCACAGCCCGCAGCCTTTCTACTTTGGCCGCCAAGTCTTCAACCCGCGATACCTGCTCCGGTCGCGAAGAGGCGTGATGATCAGGGAATGCGCCATCTCGCTCAACAGTGGCTGGTCTCTCTTTCTCGCCGGGACCCAGGAGATCGAGTCGGATTTGGTCGCCAAGGTTGTCACGCCTTTGTTCCAGCACGACTATTTCGCTTTGTCGGTTTTGCTCATCCGCCTTGAGAGCCTCCAGACGAATTGTCTGCTCGGTTTCTGTTTGTTGTAGACCGTTGAGCCTTTGTAGCGCCTCCTGCTCTTCACTCTTGAGTGTTTGAATTCTCCTCTCTTGGAGCGCCGTGTCACTTTTCAGCTGCTCAACGTGTCGAGAAAGCTGTCGTTCTGTTGCCGCCAGCTGCGCCAGCCTCGCTTCTTGCTCTTCCATGCTTCTGCGGGCGCTTGTTCGCCGCTCTGCGACGTTCAGTGCTTGCTGGGGCATTTGTGCTTGAGAAAACATTGGCAAACGTTGCTCGTGGCTACTGCTATGGTCAAACATGTGCGTGTCTTCCGTTGATTCAACACCGGCCACGGAAATGCCGAGGTCTTTGCCGAAGAGCGCAAAGAATGTTGATCGCTGAATAAAGATAGACGTCAAACGCAAATGAGGTCTCGACATTGGTCCGTGAAGCTTGTTTAGGAACATATGCTTTTTGTCCCGATCTGGTCTGTAAAAAAGCAGACCAGACCGATAGTCTATGGACTATTAGTCTGGACTGCAGTCTGGACTAATAGTACAGTTAATGGTCTGGACTATTAGGAGGCAGCCTGCCTTTGTGAGTATGCCAAGCTTTGATGCGCTGAATGGATGGTGCGCTGTGCGAGGCATACGGAGGGACCTGGAACGTAGTGTCCATGTTTGATCCGAGCATGACGAAAGTGCGAACGGCAGAAGAGCTGGAAGAGTTTAAGAAAGAGAGCGTACAGGCAGCGATAGCGGCCAAAAAGGAGCAGAGACGGCAGAAGAGGCTGGGGCAAGGGCAGGAGAGTGCTCTGTTGTGAGTGGTTGAGCGCTATTGGATGATCAAGCAGCCTCCCTGTTGGGGGTTGCTTTCTGTGTTCTGGAGTTACGGACATGGTATTATTAGAAGCATCCTGATACCAATTTGATCTTCTTCGTTGTGCATTCACCTCGAATGCATGTTCCCCTCGTTTCTGGTATTGTAGATGAAGCGTTGTATTACCTCCAGGATAGCCACTGTGACCTAGACATGGATAAATTGACAGGCAAAACCGTGGTCATCTAGTCGTTCCCGTCGGAAGACGTTGCATAACCGATGCGGATAAGCGTGATCCCCTCGGGTACGCGCAGTCCCCAATACTACTCGCAAGGATAGTAGCCAAGAAATAGCACCGTAAAAATGAAAATAATTTGGTGGTCGCTGAGCCAGAAAGCACGTTCATGACCGTCGCTACTTTGTCTCTCCTCTGGCCGTCCGTGAAATGCAACAAAGATATTCTGCACTTTGTCCTCGACTGCTGCAGGCCTGGCAACCAAACTCTGCCGCAGATTAGGCACTGGGTATCGATGACGCGCCACGGCACGCAAGGCAGTCTTGATTATTCCTCGGGGGCACTTTACGGGCGGATACATGCGGCACGGCCCGCCCTCTTCCGCCGGGGGGTTTTCTCTTTTAGGCCATTTAGTTGTTCTATTTTAGCAACTAGTCATCGACGTGGTGCCGATCTCGTCCCAGTTCCCCCCCGCAATATTGCATCGAGAGTCTAGAATCTACGATGGTAACAAATAGCAGGCAAAAACAAGGCAAGCCATGCGCAGGTCAACCTGCAAAAGGCAGGCAGCTGAAGGGACAAGCGGCGGGCTTCTTCCGGAGCATCCCTCCGGTGAGTGGCGAGGAGCCGCCCCGATGGTCAGCGCTCACCTGACCTGAATATTTTCGGCCGATCTTGGACAGCAAGACAAGCTTTTCTGGAAGCCCACTGGCTCAGCCGTGTCAGCCCCCAACAAGCTAGGCGCTGTCCCGCACGCCACAATAACAAGTGTGGTGGCGACTTCTCAAAGCAAGCCATCGTTTTTCATCTCATCTGCCGTCGACTGCCGGTGAGGAGCATAGTATGTGGCGGGTAGCTAGGGTGAGGCACATCCGACAGCTAGTCACGGCAGCATCCTGGCCCGACTGCCCTAATTTTCTTCGAGTATCAATCGCCAATGTCCAAAATAAAAAGCCACTCGTTAGCGGCATATCCAGGGCAAGTCGAGTCCTGATTGTGGCTTTCGCTCTCACGATGCTCGCCTTTCCTTCGAATCTGATTTAGTCGCTTTTGATGATGTCACGACTTGGGGATGCTGTATTGTTCGCTGAATAGCCATAAGCCGCTATTAATTGGCGAGACACAAGGACATGTCCCCGCCTTTGGGCAGCTCATGAGCCCGGCCCCTCACACCCGACATCTCATTTCGCTGGCCGCGTGAGCGATGATTGATTCGTGGGCAATTTCTTAGCCGTTGAACTGGAGAAAAAGCCATATCACAATTCTATATGTCGGAGCCTTTCAGCTCCATCACCCCAGATGCATGAGGCTACACAACGCCGCTCGGAAAGTGGCGTGTTGAGCGGCGCCACGATGCAAGCCATTATTCAAGCGGTACCGGAGTCAATATCTTGGTACAAGCCCAATTACTCGACCACGGCGGCTTAGTCACGCGGTGGCCTCACTCATAGAATGGAGCCCTCATGGCTCGGCCAGCTTCCTCTCATGTCATTGCTCGAGGGCGTGCAGAGAGCGCTTGGCCCCCAAGCGGAAGCTGAACAAGAAAAACACTTTTCCAAGGAACAATCACAGGAAAAAAACTGGGCAGCGGCATCTCGCTGGTGGCGCTTCACCTGGCAAGCCCGTCAGCAAATTTCACTGCCACGTCGGAATGTCGGCCGCCACTCAATATTCTAGCTTACACGTCTCCTGATATGACCAGCGCCCATCGCGAAGTCCTCCGCCTCATTGTAGATCAGCTCAACAGGGGGACGCTGAGCCTAGCCATGTCACGGGGGAGTCTAGATTGCATGGCTTGCAGGACAGGTGAAATTTCCAAGAATTCTCATCGTCGGCAGATCTCGATATGACGCCCTTGCGCTCAGCTCTTATGCCGCAGCAACGTATTGGGTCTTAATGGCAGTTCAGAAATCTATATAATCCCTCCGTTGTCGCCTCATACCTCTCTCGAATCCATCAGCACCTCATCAGCTACCAATCTCCTTTCAACAATCAACGTACCAGCTCTCACAAGCACATCTTTGCCTATCCCCTCACTTTCAAAATGAAGTTCTCCATTGCCGCCATTGCCCTCGCTGCCGTCGCCGTTGCGTCTCCCGTCGAGATGGAACCCCGCACGAACCCCAGCACCTGCAACATCAACGGCAACAACAACGGCAAGGTGGTTTGCTGCAACTCGCTCATCCCCATCCTCGGCCAGATTCTCTGCAACATCGCTGTCCTTGGAAGCACCTGCAACGCTGGCCAGACTGTCAGGTGCTGTGAAACCGACGCCAACGTGAGTGAACACTGACACGGAACTTGTACCATGCGATATACTGACCTCTCTTTTTCAGGGCGGTCTCATCAACATCTCCCTCCTCAACTGCGTCGGCTAAATCACAACGAAAACAGCGAGATGGAGTGGCATTTTACGCAGGTCCGCGTCAAGAATTGCATGTCGAGTTATCAAGTCGAGAAGACATACACTACAGCTGCGCGCCTGGTAGTCAACGTATATATAACTTACATAGACATGAATATACAGTTTCCAAGCTCTGTCAAACACATTTCCAGATAACCTACGACTGTAGTTTCCGCGGAGAGTAGTCGGATATATGCTACGCCAAGCTCCTTCATCCTCAATTCAGCCCAGCTGCCCAAATCACCGAAGTAGCTCTCCGGATCTGCCCCGCGCCAGTCCCGCAACGCAAACCAGAGGTGACGTGCGTCTTTCCCCGCCTGGATTGCACATTTGTAGTCGGGCGCGTGACTGTAGATCGCCTAAAAAGACGGTCAATACCGGGCTGGCGTACAAGGCTCACGTACTGGGCCAAGGACGCACCCCGAAATAATGTTTTGAGTATTCCATGTATTGCACATGGGTGATGGGCTTTGTGTAGCTGGGCACCCGCGTCAGCGACGGCCCGGCATTCTCATCAGCCACAAGGTCAATCTCCACTGCCATCAGCGGATCAGACAAGAGGGCCGGCACGATGCACCCCGTCTCCCAGTCGTACAGAGACGTCACGAGAGGCTGACCGTCTGCGTCTGTCGTAATCGACATGTTGTGGATGCCAAAATCGCCATGGTCTAGAACAAGACGATAGAGCGAGCCCTCGCTGTCGTCTGCAGGCATCATATGTGGAATGAAGCGCAGGAGTGACTTCTTCGCTGCCAGCGCCACGGGGCCGACGGTAACCTCGTCGGACTCCCAGCCAATCATGTCACCCAAGTTGCGGATTGTCGCTTCGACTTTGGCTGTGAAGAGCGCGACGCAAAACTCGCGCGTGGGTGCCACGGGAACAGGGAGTGACTCGGGTTTCTGCTCAAAGAGGCGCTCGTGGAACCACGCAGCCGCAAAGTCGAGCGGGAGCTGGAAGTTGAAGAGTGATGCGCGGACACGAGCAGATTGGGCAAGAATATGAGCCTGTAGAATGAATATCTGGCCACTGTTGACTTTTGCATACAGATGACGGGCCTGCCGTTCGCATGCGCCGGGTGCAGTGAGCTGAATCTCGTGAACGGTGTCTTCATGAGTTTCTCCATCGCAGCTTCATCTTTGTCAAAGACACCATACCAAAAATCCTTGATGAAGCGCAGGTATGACAGCAATTCCTGTCCGTCAGTCTAGCGATAGAAGAAGGCGTGATCCCAACTTACATCGTGACATCTCATGGCGATCATTTTATTGATGACGCTTAGCCGCAACCCACAGTATAGGGCTGGCAAATGGCGGAAGGCGTCAAATGCCGGTGCAAACTCATCATGTTCAAAAAGCCTGTTGAGCTGGTTCTTTCTGTGGGCCGAGTCTGTTATCGCACCAAGACGTGCCCACCATTTCTGTTTGAGGTATTCATTGTGCTCTCCGAACATACCCTGGTATTCCCGTATCTTAAGCAAAAATACGCCATCGCCTGGCCTCTTCTCGTTCGAGTATTCTTCCATCAAATCTTTCTTCGCTTCGTCGCTGATATCTTCTTTGGGTTAGATCGAGCGTTGTTGAATGTTGACTGCGTATGCCACAAACCTGAGATGTAGAGGTCGACGACCCAATGCGGATCTGCCGACCGAGACACTTCCCCGGAAGCTTCGACCCTGTCACGCCCACGCAAACATTGTATACGAAATCCAGACGGGAAATGTAGTCTGGGAGGCCTACTGCCACATGACAGAAGTGATTCGCGACTGAACCCGGAGGCATCCAGTGCTCTGTGTAAATCTGCCGCGTCAATGACTGCTGGTATGCGATGTTGTCGTTCCGCTGGGCTATAACCACGTTGGTTTTTAAACAGCCTGATTAATCGCTTTACGTTGTTACTGTTCGCGTTGTTTGAGTTCGGAAAGTCCAGAATGCTGAGCTGAACCTCTGCCGTCCCAGCATGCTTGAGGCTTTTCTCCGCACATATACGGTGCGATACCGCCTGAAACCCACTCCGAGCCATGTGGCAGAATAGTTTACAGCGTTCGGTAACTCTGAGATAAAAAGGATGTGAATTGTCCGGTGGAAAAGAGTCATCTTATACTCATGCTGTAAATAGTTGTGATGCCACAACCTTTGCCATTCCCCACCAGTCATGTATAAATGCGCGGCGCCCACACCTAGTCCGTGTGGCAAGCTGCTGTGCTTCATCCAACACGGCAAGCTTCCAGTTGCAATGAGTGTGCACTACAATAAAATCCGAGACTCAGAGATCAAACTGCAAGATGTGAAGGCACAAGATATACCTTTCGCAGATGATGGGACGGTCATGAACCGCAACAGGCCGACCGGGGTCCCGCCCGCCCCCAAGCGACTCAAAAAAAAAACAGTGTCCACCTACGCCAACGGACGATAGCCTGCCTACCAAGAAAAAAGACGGCCTGATCACCACTGCGGCTGTTAAAGTACCACAGGACACCTACCGACGACTTTTTGACCTCCAGCTTGGGGAGAGTGACTATTTCGCCGTTGCAGAAGAGGACCGATCTCATCCACACAGGCAATCAGTCGTGATTATCAAGACTTTTACCGGCCCTGGGGCAGAAAGCCAGATACAAGCGATACGCAGAATTCAGCACAATCGGTTTGTCGATGCCAAAGAGTTTTTCCCTATAGATGAGGGATACCTTGTGTCTTTCGAATTCATGCCCCTCGCACTATGTGAAATAGCAGGCAATCCTCTTCTGAATGATGTACGACTGGCGTCGGTGGTGGGACAGGTATGCTCCTTGTCTGCGATTGAACCAATTCGCTGCTAATCTCGCGCAGATCGTTGATGGGCTTCTGTATCTAGAACAAAATGGTCTCGAGCACTCGAGTCTTACCTGTTCCAACGTATTAGTAGACTTGTTTGGCAATGTTAAGATATGTAAGCCACGCTCAAGCCATGAAACAATCTTCCCTACTGATCTAGACAGGGAATCAGGAACACATTGAACTGTCGGCCGGGAGATACCAACATGTCGAGGCTGTGGGGGAAATTATCATGTACCTTGCTCATGGCCAGGCCCGGGATGATGGGATTGTGGGCCTGGATGAGCCCCAGCGATTCCCGTTGGCATTCGATTTTCTCTCCGCCACACAAACAGCATCCAAATTAAGCACCGTTACTGAAGTAAGACACATAGGTTTTTTTGCAAGACTAAGACTGTACTGACTATTATAGAACGCCTTACTAAAGCTTCCTTGGCATAAGAGTCGGCTCGCAGGCCTGATTTGCTTCACAAATACATGTGTGGGCTTTGGATACAGATTTCCAGCAACAGCGGCAGGAGAGATGGGCAGCGCGGACTCTTAGACATCTAGCTGTTACAAAGGAGTGACAGCACATAGGAACAATAAAGACAGATTACATATTCCAGAGCCGAAAAACTACACATAACGCCGCGACCATATCACGGCTGGTATTCCGCGTACCTGACATCTATACCACGGTACTGCTGACGTCGCATCACGTCAATTAAGGCGTCCCGCATAGCACCGCACATAGAGACTTCTCAAATTAGTCATCGTCTTTTTCTTGTAGTGGGAGTACGTGCCTGAAATAACCGTCTTGCTTCCGCGTCGTCGTTGTTTCAGCTCTGAGGACAAGACATCGGCGAGCGGTATTGGGCCTTGATACGCTGTAGATCTACTGCCGAAATCCATTTCTTTTATGCTTTCGGCTGTAATATAAATAGATATGCGCAGATTCTGCCTCGCAGTGTAAGCATGTGATCCAATGAATAGATTTGGGTACGTACGTATTGTCCATTGAGCTTGTCTTCGGCGAGAGCTTCATTCAGCAACTTTTGCGCGGCAATTCCTACATCTACAGCATGTCAGTGACTGAATCTTGATGAATGATGGCTGTGTACCTCTTCGCTCCATTTGCCATATGAGATGAACCCGGCGAACTGGAATCACATGGCTGCGTTGATCATGCGTCAGCTTCTTTAGATAGGGCAAGTGAGCGGCAATTCCAGACTCAGTAGCCAGCATGACAACATTTTCGTATCGGCTAACTGGAGTTGGCTTTCCATGGGGTCCGCTGAACCACGCCATGCTCGTTGTCGAGCCATGTTCCGACAGCTTCAAAAGATTTCGAGTAAAGCCGCGACGAGGCTCTATGAATAGGTCCAGATACTTCTGTGGCTCCTTAGACCAGGATGTAACGACGAAGGGGTGCGTTTGCGCAAAAGACCACAGGCTCACGGATGGAACCCAAAGATCGATGTACTGCCCTGCTTTTACCTTGAGAGGGCGGGACAGATGCAGCCGGATTTGGGTCGTACCCTTGACAAACGACATCTGAGCCAGGGAGAGACTCGAGACATTGCGATAGATGACGCAGCCAAGCAAGATAGCAGAGCTTGTAAGTAATATAGCGCCGCCTATAATCACGTACAAGCCTGGGAGGAGTTGGCCGGATCTGATATGGCGCCAGAGAGCGTATGGAAAAGCAATTGCCAATATCTGGTGCAAGCGCAAGGCTGCTTCGAACCAGATATTTCTTAGAATCAGCGGTATGATCTGGGCGCATAGAAGTAAAATGGCCTGCGAGCCTGAGTATTAGCACCTTCTTAAGTTGGACGCATCTACTAACCACTAGTGCGAATATGTTCTTTGGTGTTTGCAAATTGAGCCCTCTAGTGGTGATCCCGCCTACGACCACGTGAAGCACCGCCAGTACGAAAGCCAGAGTCCCTAAAGACGCATGGAGGCGACGGCAGGAATGCAGTGAAATGTGCAGAACGTCTGCCAACATGCCCAGACATGGGCTTGCAAAACAAAATAGCAAATTTATCACCGAGAGCGTTCCGGTGCGAGTGACAACGAGCGTACTTTTGCAAGCGTGCTGGTGATCACCTTGGCCATTTCAACATTGTCTATAGCCTGAGATCTAAGTTGAGGAGTCTTCGCGGCAACCCTTGCCTTTCGCGAGGCGATGTCTGCCTTGCGGCTCAGACTAGTAGAACCAGCTGGCTTCATCCCATCAAAATGATGCGCGGTATGGCGGCTTTGACGTCAATGTCCCTTGAGAAACATGCAGCGCCGCCGTAGATTTTTTTGTTTTGATGGTAGGAAAAGAAACCTGCAGCGCCGCTGTAGATTTTTTGTTTCGATGGAACCGTAGAGAAACCTGCAGCACCGCTGTAGATTTTTTTGTTGTGATGGAACTGTAGAAAAACCTGCAGCGCCACTGTAGACTTTTTTTGTTTTGATGTAGGAAAATAAAGCTGCAGCGCCGCTGTAGTTTTTTCGTTTCGATGGAACTGTAGAGAAACCTGCAGCGCCACTGTAGGTTTATGTCTCGCACTTTGTGGGCGGCATTCTAAATCCGCGCCCTGCTGACTAATTTTCCCGCGCCCCCTTCGCAGTGGTCAGTGATTAAATTTTAGTGGCTTACTCGCCTAAATACAGGGCCTCTTGTGCCACACAGTCCGCTGCCGCAGCCTCCCAGATGTCACCCATGCCTCGTCTGTCAGAAAAGGGATTCGCTTCCATCTCAGCTGCTACCTTTGCTTCAACTCGGTCTTCTTCTGCCTTGTCCCAATCCAGATACGACATCATTTCTTCCTTCGTCCAGTCTCTGGACCTTTCTTGCCCTTTACATTGCTTACCCATCTGCTTCCAATCAAGGCACCAAGCAAGCTCCGCCTTGTTGTACCGCTGGGGTAAACCCGTTGCTTTTCGATACTGCTGGTTAGTCTTGATACTGCCACACGGCTGCGCATCGTACCAAGCCTGTCTCGACTCAACATATCTCTGGTAGATTGCTTGCGGGTCGTTGTATCTGAGCTTTGGCGCAGTTGACTTTCCCACCACTGATGACTCGGCTACCGCTGCCTGTTGTACGACTGTCGAGTTGACTATAATGCAATCTGCCACTGTCTCATTTGTAGATGTATGGCTACCAGACTCACGATCTGCCAGCGCCTGAACTTCTAATGCCTGGTCGCCTCTTACGTTGTCCGTTGGTGCTTGCATCGCTACCATGAGATGTTCGTCTTTCTGACCTATGGTCGCATGAGCTATCGTCGCCTCTGCGACTGTCGTCGCCACTGCATCTGATACCACGATGCTCGTTGTGTGTGCTGTTGTTTCGGTGACCGATGCTGGTGGCTGGAAGAGCTCTGTATATCGTAAAGGGCATGACTTCGACGTCATTGTGTGACCTATTGTGTGACACATGCTACATTTCGGCAGTGCCTTTGGATGTGTTGCTGCCTCAATTGTCTCGAACGCGCTAGGCTCTCGCCTTGTGCTAGTTGCTGGCTGCTTGCGTCTCCGGTTGAGCAGGCTCGGGGCATTTCTAGGCTCTAATATTGGATGTGGTCTTGACATATCTCGTTTCAAGTGCCAATGGGGATGGAAATGCTCGAGTAACAACGCTCCGCCTTCTTCCTCGAGCTTCTTCAAAGTATGGACACACGGCAGCCCAAAGGAGGATGTGAAGGTCATGGTGCAGGGGCTTTTGAGTGGCTTGGAAAGCAGTTGTCG